GGGCACCTCGCGGGGGGGGCGGGGCTCACCCAGGCAGAGCAAAATGGCCAGGGGGATCTGAGGACCTGCCCATAGCCTCTGGGGACACCATCCCCCACGGGGGTCAGCAAAGGGAGGCTCAGCCCTCATGCAGAGGCCTCCAAAAGGTCTCTTCTGGGGTGGAGGGAAGGCTTCTGGGTGGAGCAGCAACGTGGACCCCCAGCAGGCCATCCAGGGAATTATGCCCTCCCAGCCTCAAGCGGTCGCCCAGATAACACCCCCACCCCCCAAATAATGGTTGTCTTTTCTTCATTCCTGATATTTCAGGCCAACACCTGAAGAGAACGACTCCTCTTCCATCCGGAGGCGGGAGAATGGCTTGGACGTGGCCCTGAAGGGCCCCGAGGCCGGGATGGGGCCGAAGGAGACGCTGCTTTCACCCCGCTGTCCAAGTCGCCGCCAACTCTTCTGCCTCCTGTCGCTTCCCTACCTTTGGGGTCCCCAAGCCCCGAGCGTGCCTTCGTCCCACCTCTGCCCCTCTTGCCTCGATTTTCCACCAAGCCCCCTTGCCAGCCCTGGTTTCGGCTTCCGGGGGGGCAGGCCCCCTTTTCTAGACCCGAGTGTTCTTTCTGAATGAAGCAGCGTGGGGGAGACATGGCTGGATTACGTTTATTGCATCTTTCCGCTACCTATTTGGGCTACAGGCTGCAGGGGGCGGATCCGAGAGGCTGTTCGGCTTCGCCCGGGGGCTCAGTAATAGGTCTCCTTCTCTACCCAACCTGGCAAAGGAAGGAGGAGAAAAGAGGCCAGTCAAGAGGCAGAGGGGGTGTGTGTCTGTGTGTGTCTGTGTGTCTGTGTGTGCGCGCGCCCTGGAAGCAGGAAGTCTGCCCCCCAGGGCAGCCCATAGCCAGCCCCTCCTGCTTCCTTCCAGAGGCGGGACTCAGAAGCCCATGGTTCGGTAAAGGTGTTGGGAGCAGCATCCCGTTCGGGTGACTGGAAGACCAGCTGCCTGGGGGGAGCAGGGGTCTGGACCTGCCCTGCTGCCTTGCTTGTGAGCCAAGGAGAATCCCAGTCCTACAATGCCCCCCCACCCAAAAGCAGCCTTGCAGGGTCCCTCTGGAGAAGGGCTGGAGGGGAGGCCCG